TAAGTGGTTTTTTTAATTTTAAAAGTCTTACCATTTCTATTTCGGTTTATTATTTGTTCATATTCTATTATTTATTTAATTAATTTATTAAAAAAATATATACATTTCATATTTTATATGTTTTATAGAATACAGAATATATTATAAGTTTGAGATTTTTATAAATAAAAATATAATTCTAAAATTTGGAAAAAGATTGATATTTTTTAAAAAAATAGTTTAATTTCAAATAAATAAATATATAGATATTAATAATTAATAAAAAAGAAATTGTATTAATATTAAAAATATATTATTATTTTTCTTTTACTTATTTATTTTATATATATAATAAACTTAAATATTAAATTGTATTAAAAGAAAAAAAAAAAACCATAAAAATGGACTCATTTATGGAAAAAATGACCTAAAATGAAATTTTAGGTTTATTAGCTTAAAAAAAAGATAAAAAAATAAAAGAGATTCATTATAAAGCCATGAGAAAATTTTTAATTAATAAGAAAAAAACTAATAATAAAAAAAAGAAAAACGCTTTTAATTTTTAAAAGATGTTTTTGATGGATAAAACTTAGGTATAATATACTAACAACAAATTAAAAATATAAACATATAAAAAAAAGGTGTAAAATTTATAGAAAAGAAAGATGATTAAATAAGTGTTTCTTATGAATAAGTAAACTAAGCATTATATTAAATAAAAAACTCAAAAAAACCCGAAAAAAAAAACCAAGTTAATATAAAACCTTAAGATTATAGCGAGTAAATAGTTCAAAATATAACACTTTAAGACGTAAAAAATCGAATAAGCATTATAAATCCAAATTTTCCTACATAAGAACTCCCATTAATGTTTCCTTCTAAAAAATAAATAGATGCAAAATAATTAACGGAAATTTTAAATTAAAATTAAATATAAGATAGGGATCCTTTAGACGATGCTATTAGTTTGTTTATAGATAATGGAGAATTAAATATAAATAAATTAAATAACGTAATGAAAAATTTAGGATATGGATAACTTGATTATAAATCTATTCAAGTTTTAAAAGAAATACTCGATTCGAATGGAGATGGAAAGATTAATAAATAAGATATAAAAGAAACTCTAATTTTTTCTAATATTATATATGATTTATAATAATAATAGAATAATTGATTTTTTTTTTTTATAAATAAATAAATAAAATAATTATTTTTTTTTAAATAAAAATTCGAATACTTTTTATATATATTAATAAATATATATTTATAGAAAAATAAAATAAAATAAAAATAAATATTTTATTTATATAAATGTATATTTTATAAATATTAATAAAAATAAAAATTAATATTTTGTATTTTTAATTTAACCCAAAAAAAAAAATCAATTTTTTTTTTTTTAAAAAAAAAAAATTATGTCAAACAACGTTTTTTCTATCTAAGATTTCGCATAATTTAGCAATTCTGTAATCCTAGAATAACGAAATTCATAAAACTTTAATGAACTCGACGAAGAAAAATCCACTACTAATAAATTGTCTATTTAATATGATATCGAATAAAAAGAAAATAAAATAAGCCAATAATTAAATAAACTGAACAATAGCATTATCCTAAAATTCACACTTAATTATATTTAAGAAACTGAAAAATTATATTTAAAAAGAGGAGCTTTAAATTCTGACAGACTTGAAAATAATACAACGAAAAATATTCTAACTTTAAAAGACTAAATGCTTATTAATATATTAAACTAAGAAATTGTGAGTTTATAATTTGAGGAAAATTAAAATGTACTTTTTTTTAAAGAATATATATATATATATCTATTTACAAAAATAAAAAAAAAAGATTGCTATTTATTGCTTAAGAAAGAAAAATAGAAATAAATTAGAAACTTAGTTTTTAATTAAACTTTTTAAAAACTTAAATTTTTTTTAAGAAAAAGAAGATATTAATATTATTAATTAAGAATAACCTAATAAGTTTATATAAGAATTATAATTAAGATAATATTCTAAATACTAAGCTTTAATTAATTATGGTAAAAATTAATATAAAAATTATAACTTTTTTATTAATATAAATTATATATGAAATAATAGGAGAAAAAGGAAGTGAATTCTTTACTGTTTTAAAAGGTATCTTTTAAATAAAAATAAATATATAAATTTATGAATAACATTATATAGTTACTTAAATTATATCAAAGGAGGTGCTTATTGTTTAATTCCAGATCCGAAAAAGAAACAAAATTTTTTAATCTCTGCTAAATAAAATGAGACAAACAAAGAAAAAAATGTGAGGAGATTTATAAATGCAATTTCTTCTAAAATTACAAGGAGGATTTCCGTAGATGAAAGCGTAAAAGGATTTCTTTCACAAATAAAATTAAAAGCAAAAGCAAATAGTTAAAAGTAAAATAATTAAAGATATAAAAATAAATATATATAGATATATAAATAAATATATATAAATATTTATAGATATTTTTTTTTATACTTATTTTAATTTTTTATTATAATATATTATTTAATTATGTAATATTAGTCTCTAAGAAAAATAATTATTAAAAATTTAAGAAGAAAATGAAGATAAGATCTATTTAAGATAAATGTTCCCGAATTTCGTTCTCGTAAAAACTTTTTTACCGGGAGAAAGTTTTGGAGAAATAGCTTTATTAACATAAAATGGAAGGTATTTTTTTAAAAAATAATTAATTTTTTTTATAAAAACTATAAAATACGAATTATTAGAACTGCTATTTTAATATCAAAAGATGAATCTTATTTTCTTGTTCTTAGTAAAAAAGGCTTTGATGCAGTAATGAAAACAAATAGAAAGTTAATTTTGAAAGATAAGATAAATTTTTTAAAAAGCTTTGATTTTTTCAGTAATTTATCTGAAAAGAAAATTTTTTAAATTATTAATTAAATTGTTATTTCTACTTATAAAATAAAAGAATGTATATATAAAGAAAAAGATAATCCTCAATATATATATTTAATAAAAGAAGGAGAAATTGAGTTAAGATAAAATTAATAAAACGAAGAAATTACTTGTAATTAATTACTTAGAAATAACAAAATAAAAAAATATTAAAAACACACTTTTAAAATTATAAGTTCAGGTAGCTTTTTTGGAGATTCGGAATTTTTAAATAAACTAAATAAAAGATAAGATGAAGCTGTTTGTTTAAGTTAATAAGCTATTTTATATGCATTAGATCCCATATAAATTTATAATATACTCGGTTATGATTTTTATGAAAGAATAAAAGAACAAACGTAATTAAAGTAGAAAATAAAAGAAAAAATAATCTAGAATTAAATGGAGATATAAAAACCGTTAAAGGATATTAGGAATTTAAAAGAATATTTAATTAAGAAACAAAACTCTGAATAAAATATCGAAAAAAATACTTCTATTTTAAAAAAAGAAAAAGAAGTTTTCCAAAAAGTATAAGAAAAAGTTATTGATTTATAAAAACTTTAACAATACCATAGATATTAAAAAGTAAACTCTTCTGTTGAAAATTAATAAATATTTTTAGATTCTATCAGTATTTTAGAAAAAAGAAATAAAATGTTTAAGAAAAATCAACTTCGTATTTTTATAAAAGAGAAAATAATAATCCTTTAATATATAAAATTCTCAAAAAACATTAAATTTAATAAATAGAAGAAGAAGAAGGAAAGAAACTAATAAAAGTAAGTCATTTTTATAATAATTTAAAATAAAATTAAGATAATTAAATAAAAAGTTTTAATAATGAAAAAAACTAACTTTAAAAAGAAGAAAGTCAAGATTAAATATAAAATCCGAAAAAATAAAAACTTTTTGTTAATTTAAATTTAAAACATTAAAACCAAAAAATAGCTTAATAATAATTAAAAAATTTTACGAATAAAGAAATGAAAGAAAAAATAAAAAAATATGATTCTTAAACTAATTTTTCATATAATTTTATTTTAAAAAAGAAATCCTAAAATAACAATTCAAGTGTTTGTCCATATAATTCTATTACTTTTTCAAAAAAATAATTAGACAATATATAATGCTAAGATAATTCTTTGGAAAAAAAAGAAAAATTTAAATGTTAAAGTAATAAAACAATTTAAGTATTTTAAAATTATTACATAAAAATAAATATTAAATACAATGAAAATATATATGTTTATATATATATATATAAATATAAATATAATATATAAATATAAATATAAATATATTTATTTATATTTATTTTATTTAATTAATAATTAAATTTTTCTTTTCATTTTACTTTCTTTATACCTATTAAATTATATATACTTCCCCTTATATCTATATGTAAATTTTATTCTTATTCATTTATATTATAGAGTTTTTTTATATCATCTATGTTTACATTTAAACCTATATAATTTGCATTTTCGATAGTTCCGTTTACTTTTTGTTCTATTTATTCACTTTCTGCTTCATTTTCAACTTCAATTAATAAAATAGAAGGACACTAATAATCTTAAACTTTAAATACTTCCAAATCCTAATTATTTTTAAAATATATTTAATAAATATATATCTTTGTGTTACTGAATATTTTTCTGGTTTTATATAATAAATTATGTTTTTTATATTTAATTCTTCAGTTTAAGAATATAACTTGTTTGTAGCTATTAAAAGTTCTTTTATTGAAATAATCTAATGTATATATATATATATATATATATATATATATATATATATATATATATATATATATATATACATATATTAATTTTTAATGTATTTATTTATTACATATTTTGCATTTAAATGAGCGTATTTTTTATTTTTTTAGTTCAAAAATTCGAAAAAATCAATTTGATTATTCATATTCTTAATAAATAATACAAATAATTATTTTCCGTTTTCAAAAGTATAAATAAACCTTTAATTTTTTTCCATTTTTTTATTTATAAAGATATAATTTTTTTTATTTTAAAACAAAAAAACATAAATATTTTTTTATTTTATTTTTCCCAAATAAAATCTTAAAATCTAATAAAATTTTCATTAAATCTAAATTAATTATTCTTCTTTAAAATTATCTAAATTAACTTTAATCCAATCAAAATCAAACTTCTCTGGCATTCCTTTATGTGGAAAATTTTACCATTTACCCCAATCAAAAGCTTCAAATCCATCCTACGTTGGCCCACTTATCATTAGTACTTAATTTTATTTTAATAATTCCTATATATAAATAAAATAAATAATATATATTATCATATAATTATTTTAATTAGAAATTTTTTTTTACATTATTAGTGACTTTTCCATCTATCCCTCCAAATAAATAAGGTCCATTTAAAATTAAATCACATCTAGGAGCAAGTGAATTACAAGGATTACCTGTTTCATTATGGTTAAGTCTAATAATTTCCATAACTCCTTAAGTATTAGTCACATTTTTTGAATGTTCTTTAAATAGAATAGCCCTAGGATCATTTTAATAATTAAATCCATAACCTTCTTTATACATAGTGCTATTATATATTTCTTAATCAAAAGGTACATTATAACTAGCAAAATATCCATCAGAAAACAACATATCAGATACATCTTTAGCTTTAAATAATTCAAAAGATTCTTCAACAATCCATATAATATCTTTTTTTTTAAAAAAAAATAAAAAAGCATTAATATTTTGTTAAAAAATATTTATTTACCTTTTTTTTACCCACTTCTATATTTATTATAATCTACTACTAACCATTAATTATTGTGTGTGCCACTTCTATATTTTTAGAAAATATGAGCCCAATCAGATGCATTTTTAGCCAGTCTATTCGCCAAATTAGCTCTTAACCAACAAGGCAAGCTATCAAAATGTAAATTTTAATAATTGCTTATATTATAGTTATTTAAACTCGTTTCCATCACTACTATACCACTACTAAGTGTGTAAAAATCGTCTTTACTTTATAAATCGCCAGGTCTACTAGAAAAGCTTTAATTATTACTTTAAATATCTTTATTAGAAAAATTATTTTCGATATACTATATACAATATAAAAGTTAATATATAATTAATAAAATATATATATATATATATATATATAAATAAATAAATATATAAATATATAAAAATATAAATATATATTATTTTTATTTATTTTATTTATTTATATACTTACTTTATAAATCCTTAACATTAACGAATAGTTATTAAAAGTAGAATGTCCACAAATTAAATCTTCTGGCGTTATTTTTACATATGCATTACAATTTTATTAAGTTTTATTTGTTTTTTTAAATGCGTTTACTATATCTTCTAAATCTCCCATATTAGTAAGGTAATAAAACTAATCGAAAGTTAAAAACAAATCACTTTTATTATTATAATGAATACTGTTATTATATCCTATATATAGTCCGTTTAGTTATTACATTATATTATCAACTAATTGCCAATAAGTATCATTCGAATTCTATTTTATTTATTGATAAATCCATTATGTTTAATTTGTTATAAATTATTATTATATATCATTTATTTACTTTCCGTTTAAGATTCCATATAAATAATTAAAATAAGCATCATATATCATATCAAAAGATGCTGTACTTTCTAAAATTCCGGCAGCAAATAGTTACTCTGAGTCTGAAAATTATTTATTTGTGTGAATTTTTAGGATGTCCCATCCTGTTTCATTTAATTTTTGGGAGTATATTGATTCTGCAATTAGATTCTTTTTAAAAAAATCAGGCAGTGGATGGCGAATTATTTAGTAGTTTTGAGTTATTGCGTAATATTTTTCTGTATTACATCCGATTTTTTAAAATATTATATAAAGTATTATTATATAAGAATAAATATTTAATTTCATTCTTCCTTTCTTTCTTTCTTTCTTTCTTTTTTTTATATTTATCAAATATATTTTATATTTTATTTTTTTATTTTTAGAATAATAAATTAGAAAGTATTTTATAAAAGAAATTAAGAATCAAATATTAAAAATAATTAAAAAATATTAAAATGGAAATTTTATTAATTTTTTATATATATAAAGAAACTTTAATAATAACATTTTATATTATTTTATTTTTTAAATATTTAGATTAACTAAATTAAATAAAAAAAAGAGAATAATATACATTTTTTTGATAAAATGATTTATGATAATTAAATAATTATTTAATATAATAAAATACTAAAAAAAATATTATATTTAATAATTTATAATTATATGTATTTTTTTATTAATATATATATTTCTAGTTATTTATAAAAATAGTAAAATTTCAGTTAAATATATAATTATTATATTAATTTATTCATTAATAATATATAAAGAATATATAAACACATTTATTTGCTAATAAATATTTATATTTATTAATGGTTTTATTTAAAATAAATAGATTTTTTTTTTTTAAAAAAAAAATAAGATTTTATTTTTCTCAGTTTTATAAAAAATGTTAAAAACAAAAAAAACAAAATAATAAAAAAAAAAAGAAAATAAATATAATTATAAATAAATAAAATTTTTATATGTATATAATTTATATTATATTTTTAAAATAAAATATTCAAAAAATATTTTTAGTAGCAAATTAATTACAATTTGGACATTTATTTTATTAAATAAGCCATTTTTTAATACATCCATAATGAAAAACATGTTTTTTAGGACATTAGAGTTTAATAGCTTCGTCCGAAACTTTAAACTATTCTAAGCAAACTGAACAGCAATCTTCAATATCTTTAAGATGAGCATCGTTTACTAAAAATTTGCTTTTTTCGAATATTTATATAATTTTTTATTCTGAAATTCCTCCTTAATCTAGCCACATTTTTACCACCCCTATAATCATTCTAATAAGGAAAATATAAATAATATTATTAATTATCTAAATTTATTCATCCATACATTCCATATAGTAAAAATTAGTACTATTCTTTATATAAATGAAAAACCCGATCGCATAACAAATCCATATATATTTTGAAATTTTAGTATTATAATAAAAGACCTTAGTATACATAAAACTAATCATATTCTCACATAAATAATCCAAATTTAAGGAAGTTTACTTCACTCTCTCTAACATAATCATCATTACAAATTTAGGCAAAAGAACTACACAATTTAAAAATGTTATGGCATATATCCATAAAGAATTAAATATACTACACTCGAAAAATTATATTATTTAAGGAAATTGGTTATAAAATGTACAACTTAATATTATGTTTATTATAAATGCTATCCTAATCTAAAATTATAACATTTTCATGTTATATAAAGGATTCTCATGTTCACGAAATGCATCTATTTAAGGTTATAAAGAACGTTTTTAGTCCTCTTCGGCTTCTTTAAATAATATTTTCCAGAATTTATTTTGCATTTTTCGTTTTGTTTTTTCTAATAATTAGTTTTTTTTTTTTTACTTTCTTATTTTTTATTTTTGTTATTTATTTATTTTTTTGTTAAATTATTAATATTTTAATTAATTTAATGTTATTTTTTTTTGTATTTTTAGTATAATAGTATTTTTTAATTTATTACTATTAATCTATGTTATTGAAAAATAGTATATATATATATTCCTTATATTTTTTTAAAAAATTTTAGTTAAAAATAATATGAATATTTTTATTGAATATGGTATATTTTTTTAATTTTCTCATTTTTTCTTTTTAGATTTTTTCTTTTTCTTTTTCGATTTTTCTTTTTTAGAGTTTTTAATAAAATAAATATATTATAATATATATGAATTATAATACCTTTTTTTTAAACTAAATAATTTAAAATGCACCTTGAAGCTTCTTTCTTTCTTCTTTCTTGAATTTCCCATTACTTAAAATATAAAAAAATTATTAGAAAAAAAAAAAAACTATATATTTAATAAAAATACTTCTTTTTTTAATTTAAATTCTTCATATAATTCTTTTTCTCTTGATTTTTCATCGTCCACTTTAGCTAAATCTTCTTTCAAACTTTCTGATTCTTCTTTAATTTTAGATAGTTCATCTTCTAAATCTTTTTTAATTTTATGAAGTTCTTCCATAGTAACATCATATTACTTTATATTATCCTCCAACCCATTTTAAGAAGTAACTTTTTTTTATTTAAGTTTAGTTTCTTCAGTAGCATGTTCTACTTATAATTTATTAAATTCTTCTTTTAATTTATCTAATTCTTTATTTAATCTTTCTTTAGCACTTTCATGATTTTTTTCTAATTATTTTTTTCTTAAATCAGTTTCATTTTTTAATTAATTTGCTCTAAAAATATATATATATATATAATAATTATTTTTTTTAAAAAAAAAAAAACTTTTTTAATTTATCAGCTTTAACTTCTCCAATTTCGGCTTTTAATTTTTCAATTTCATCTTTTTTTTCTTTATAAAATTTCTATCTTTCCTCTTTTAATTTCTTTAAATCTTATTCGAAATTATTTCTTTTTTATTCCTAAAAGCAAATCCTTTAAATAAGTTCTTCTAATTAAATTTTATGAGATTCTTCTTCTTCTGAAGCTGTGGAAAGTTTCTTTAACATAATTACCCTTTAACAGTGTATACAGTGTACTAAATCATTTAAATCTGGATTTATATTAGGTTTAAGGCTTTTTATTATTTCAAAGTCTTAATTATTACCTCTTATATACCTAATAAGGTCTTTGAAGTTATTTTCGAGCATTTTTCTTAACTTTTCGGCTTCTATTTTTTTATCTTCTTCCACTTCTTCCTCTTCTTTACTTGCTTAGTCTAATAAATGTGCATAGAGCTTAAATTTAGACTCAATTTCGGCTTATTATTTTAATAATTCTAAACACTTAGGGCTCAATTATTAGACTAATTCTTTAGAAAGTTTATTGTTTTTGGTTATATCTAAAAATTTGTTAACAAATTCAGCATCCAAATAACTAAAAACTTATAAATTCATATATAAATTATCTATTATTTTCAATATTCGTTAAGCCTCAACTATTGTAGGTTTACCTATATTTGTAGATTCAATATTTTTTAACATTTCTTTATGAGTTTCTTATAAAGATTTTACAGGAGCTTTTTAACGGCCACCTTCACCGTCAGGACGAACTAAACGAGATTAAGCAACTTTTGATGGATATTGTGATTATTGCATATGAATAATATATAACTTTTATTATTATATATATATAAAAGAATATTATTTATATTTATTAATTTTGTTCAAAAAAAAAAAAAAAATTATATATAAATAAATATATGTAAAAATATATAATAAAATATATATGTATATTTATATATATGTTTATATTATTCTATTTTTTAAAATTTATTAATATTTTTTATTTAGTTTTATTTTTTAAAAAATATATTATGAATGTTATTTTTTAATTTTTTAAAAATATATTTATTTATATATATATATATATATATATATATATATATATATTTTAAATTATTGTTTTTTTAAAAAAATTATATAATATAAATATTTTAAAAGTTTGTTAATATTCATTTATTTATTTTATTTCTCGTTTATTTTAAGATACTATTTTGCATTTATTTACATTTCCTCGATTTATTTGTTTTATTAATTGGTGAAAGCTAATAATCTTATGAAATATCCTCAATAAAGTATAATTTATTATCTTTTTTATTACAAAAATTTTTATTATTTTCTTCCTTAACTTAAAATTTTATTTATTTTTTTTCTTTTTCAAACTTTTAAAATTATATACTTTTCAAATAATTTTGTACATTATCTTAATTATAGTTTTTTTTTATATCATACTATCTTAAAAAATTATCATTTTATTAAATAATTGATTCTTCTTATAGTTTATTTGAAAATTTAAGCCATAATTCGTCTAATAAAGACGAACAAATTTATTAAAAATTACATTTAAAAATATGCATTAATTATTATTTTTAATCATGTAAGTTTTTTTACAAAAATTTATTAATATTATCATATTCAATTTGTAATATTTCTTAAAAAAAATTAAATAAATTTTAAATAAATCCATTTTAGAGAAGATTTTCGTATATATTTCTCATATGAATATATTAGGAATTATTTATTATTATTCTTTCAGTAATATCACTTTAATATGTAAATTATTAAGTTTTCATATTTTTTTTTATATAAATTAAATAAATATATATATATATATATATATATATTTTTAATTATATATATATTTTTTTTTATATATATTTTTATATAATAATTACAAATTAATTTATTATTATATAAAATTTAATGAATTACATTAATTAAGAATAATAATCTAGTAATATCGAAAATGTATAATATTTATAAAATTAATAAGTTGAAGATACTGATGAAAGTTTAGATATTCCTAAAGAAGATTTATCTTTTGAAAGTTATATAGAAGAATGTTAAAACAATTCCAAATAAGATTAATAAGATGATTAATTAAATGGCTTTTTTCTAAACAATTATAATTAAAATTTTAATTCTAAATATCTAATTAAAAAAACAATGTTTTTTTAAGGAAAAAACTTAGAGAAATTTTTCTTGAAAATAAATAAAATTTAAGAAGAGTTAAAAATACACAAAAATAAGATTGAAAAAGTTATTTACTTTTAAAAAAATATACAAGATTAAATTATTTTAATGAAGTTATAAAACTTTATTAATAAAATAAAAATAATTAAACCTTTCATTGTAAATTTTGCACAAAAGTCTTTAATAAATCATGTTAATTAGGTGGACATATTAGTAGAGTTCATAAAGGAAAATCTAATAATTATAAAGAAAATAAAAAATTAGGTGTAAAAGAGAAATTGAAAGACAAAGAAAAGACTTTTTTAAAAGAAAGTTCATGAAAAACATATCTTTTGAAAGTAAATATAATGAAATAAATAATTATTAATAAAATAGTAAATTTGATGATAATAATGATTTTATTCTATAAAAATAAAAATGATTATATAAATATTATTTTTTAATAAAATAAAGAATAATATATTTATAATTTTATTATAATAAATTTTTTTAGTGAAAGAAATAATTTTAGTCAATAGTATAAAAAATAATAAAAAAAAATAAGAAAAAAAGAGATATTATAAATAATAATATATATATTTATATTTATATATTTATATATTATATATTATAAAATGATATGTAATATTATACAAATATTTTAAATAAGAAATATAATTTTTTTAATAATTTTAAACGTATTATAATTAATATTTTTATTTTAAAAATATTTAGATAATTATATATTTTAATTTTTTTAATTATAAACTTTTAAGAATCTTTATAATAAATATATTATTATAAAAATAATAATATAATTATATATAAATTTATTTTTATAAAAAATCCTTTAAATATTATTAAATATTATATTTAATAATAATTTATTATCTTTCTTTTATGTTTATAAAAATAAATTTATTATTATTATTATTTTTAAACTAATTAAGTAAATTAAAAATTAGTAAGATTTTAATCTGCATTATAATATTATTATTTTTAAATTGATGATTTTAATAATAAAAATATCAATATTAATTGAGTTTTCATAAATTATACTATTTATTATAGCAAATTATTATATTTATTAAAAATAATCTTTTACTTATACCTAATTAATATATATATTTTTTTATTATTAAAATTAGTGTAAAAAATCAGTTTTTTGTATATTAATAAATAACATTTTATTTATATTATAATAAAGATTTATTTTATATTTAATGTATGTAAAATTATATCTTATTTATAAAAATCCAAAAATAAATTTTTATCGTTTATATAAAATAAATATTTAATTTATTGATTTTATTAATAAATTATATGAGTTTAATCTCTTAAAGTAGCGCATAAATTAAGTCTATACATATTTTACTCGGGAAAAACCACTAAAACCTATCTTAAGCCTGGTAATATATTAATACCAGTAAATATTAATGCGAGAAAGATATGAAATATATATTTTTATAAATTAAAATTATTCTAAATAAACTAAAAAAATCAATTAATTTAAAACATTATTTTAAAATAGAATTTTAATAAGTATTAATTGAATTTGATTTTAATAATTTCTTTATATAAGGAAAATAATATTTAAGATTAATATATTTTTTTTATAAAATAAAAACAATTTAAATATAAATTAGAGAAAATCTAGAATAAACTTTAAGTAAAATTTATAAAAAAAATATAATAAAATATATATATAATATAAAATTTTTTATAAATAATTATTCTATTAATTTTATAGATAACTATATAAAATTAATTATATATTTAAAAAAAAAAATTTAATTATGATAATTTATTTATAAATAATCATAGATAAAGAGAAGATAAATAATCATTAAATTTATAGGTTATTTTATAATATGAATAATTAAAACTATATAAATTTATAATAGATAAATTAATTATTAAAATAAAATAAACTTTTTTGAAAAAAATATTAGAAGTATAGACTTTTTTAAATAATATATATTTAATTAATAGATTTATTTTTTTATATCATCGATTTCTATACTTTTATAATAATTATATAATACAATTAATTAATCAAATTATATAATATATTAATTATATATATTATTTAATATATGATTTTATAATAATATATATATATATTGATTTTACATCATATTTATGAAAAATATAAGCTATTTTCTAATATAATATAATAAAAATATCATATCGATTTGATAATATATTATCAAAAAAATATCAAATTATTTATCAAAATATATTAAAATTAGATTATATTGAATTTATTTATTATAAATATTCAAATACATGTTAATGAATGAAAATATAAGTTTTATAAAACAATTTATTTATAAACACTATATTAAATGATAAATTTACTAATAAATAAATATATCCATATAATAAATTATGAATACATTAATTATAAAATAAAAATAAAAAATATAATTCGTGTTTACTTTAAATATCAATTTTAGAAACCATTTTTTTCTATAAATAAATGATTAAATAAATACAAAATCTTATTATTTTATATTAGTAAAGTTAATATAGATCTATATCTATATATTATTAAACTTCAATAAAAACCTTGAAATTATTATTGCTATTTATAAATTCATAAAAATTGAATTTTTGATATTGTTTTGCTTGTTATTTTATATTCTTTTAATTATTTCTATTATTTAAAAATTTATTATTAATTATAATATAAGAAAAAATAAAAAGAAAAAGGTAAAATAAAAAATAAATAAGAAATAGATAAAGACTAGTATTACATATATTCGTATATATTAATTAATAATATAGATATTATTATATTAGAACGAAATTAATAATATATACATATCAAATTTAATAATAATAACACATTTATAAATAAAAAAATATAATTAGATATATATAATAAATATAAATTTTTATTTCTATTATTTATATAAAAAAAATTGTTATTATTATATAAGTTAAATAAATATTGTTTATATTTTAATCATTAATTAATATTATTTAAATATATTCATAAAACAATTTATTATATTATAAAAAAAGATATTAATTTAAAATTTTTCTTTAAATTTATTATCATACTCTTAATTCATTTTTTTTTATTATTTATAAAGAAAAAAAATCTATATTATTAATTAAAAATTAAATTTATACTTTCTTTTTAATTAATATATTCGTATTATTATAAAAATATATATTTAATTTATATTTATATTATTATTAATGATAAACATTCTTTTTAATTTAAATATATTTCATATTATTAATTTATTTTATATTAAAAAAATTAATAAATATATTCTTAATATAAATTTAATTTAATATAAAAATAATAATATTACAAAAAAATAATAAATTATGATGTATAATATAATAATTTTTCATTTTTATTATAAATATATATTTAAAATTTATTATTCTAAAATATTTATTTTTTATATAGTTATTTTATATATTTTTTTTTATAAATATATTAAAAAACAAATTTCAATATATTTTTTTACTTTTTATTATGACAAAACATGATTTTTTTTATAATTAATTAAGATTTAAAAAAGATTACAAAAATAAATAAAAATAAAACAAGCATTATTTGATAATAATGAAATAAAAAAAGAATAATAAAATATAATGAATAATATATAAAATAACAAATAAAATAAATATGAAATAAAATAAATTTTCAATAATTAATAAGAAAATTAAAAAATAAATATATATATATAT